GGACTGTTCTACTGGACTGGGACTGTAGCCCCTATTGTAACAGGACTGTCCTACTGCACTGGGACTGTAGCCCCTATTGTAACTGGGCTATTCTACTGCACTGGGACTGTAGGTCCTACTGCAACATGTCTTACGTCCTGTTCAATATGCAATTTTCTCCTTTCTCCAGATGAGGGTGCTGTGGCTGTGTGCTGTGCTGGCTGTGGTGGTGCTGGTCCGGGGGGAGGAGGGGGCCCGTCTGCTGGCGTCCAAGTCTCTGCTGAATCGCTACGCGGTGGAGGGCAGAGACCTGACCCTGCAGTACAACATCTACAACGTGGGCACCAGGTACTGTGGGTGGGGGGACGGCGCTGTGCTGCACGGTGTCGCCATCTAGAGTTCAGTGCGGTGTACTGCACTGCGGACTGGTCACTAGGAAGATGCTCCGGTCTATTAGAACCAGAAGCAGCTGGTACCTGTGGTACGAGTGGAGTGTCTGCAGCGCCAGGGGATCTGACTCTGAGCTCTCAACACCCTCAGCTCACCTGAGCCTCTCTCTCTCTGCCCCTCCTCCCACCTCAGCGCTGCCCTGGAGGTGGAGCTGTCGGACGACTCCTTTCCCCCGGAGGATTTTGGGATCGTGTCCGGAATGCTGAATGTGAAATGGGACCGGATCGCGCCGTATCCTTGACGCAGGGTTGTCTTGGGGTTCCTGGGGAAGGGGGGGTGTGGGTTCCTGTGGGATCGATGTCACAGCGGGGGGTCTCCTGTCTCTGCGGGTTTTGTCCCTGGCTAGTGCTGGGTCGCTCTGCTCCCTGGTCCGTCGGTTTGGCCCTTGACCAGCTGTCTCTCAGCGCCAGCAATGTGTCTCACACTGTGGTGTTGCGCCCCCTGAAGGCCGGCTACTTCAACTTCACCTCTGCCACCGTGAGCTACCTGGCGCAGGAGGGCGGCCAAGTTGTGGTAAGGGAACCTTAACCTTTGACCCCAGATCAGCTGTGGGCCCCCTGTTCTGACCTTTAACCTGTGACCCCTTTGATGGTGGCACCCTTTCTGGTGATGCTCATTTGACCTCTAACCTGTAAGCCCTTTGCAACAGCGAGGCTCCATCCTGCCATGACCTGCCCCTTTAACCTTTGACCTTTCTGTAACGGGGTCCCCGCTCTGACTGCCACCTTAAGAATGTAGGAGTGACCCCCAGCTTCTCAACACGCCCCGCTGGGGGCCACTTCCTTCCGGGAAGAGTGCGGGCTGTGGAATCCGGAATGTTTTCGCAGTTAACGAGCGGACCTGGCCAGTGCTAATGAGGACTCGTCTGTGTCTGTCCACAGGTGGGGTACACCAGCGCCCCGGGACAGGGGGGGATTCTGGCCCAGAGAGAGTTCGACCGACGTTTCTCCCCTCACTACGTAAGTGTCTGGACCGCGGGGAGAGGGTGGGGGGCCCGTCTGGGGCGGACTGAGGGCACCCCGAGACCCTGTAGGACAGCCCCAGACTGACGGAGACAGACTCACCTGGTGGGGTGGAGGGGGTTCGTCACACGGGTCTCAGTGAAGCTCATCCGCTGACCGAGCGCCCCTCCCCCC